CTGTCAGTTGCATAGAAATAGCACAAATGAATAACACGAGTAAATTTATTACAAATACCAATTTAGATATTAGCGCAGGATATGCCGCGTACATTATAAGCTGCATAAATATTGCCACAACTGTTAGCCGAGCACTGGTCGTACCGATAGCGGCATATGTACCCCCAATAATAATAATATTGATTAGTTTTGTATTGCTATTAATATCACAAATTTTACTACTGTTTGCCCAGAAATCAGTAGTAATTTTATGGGTTGGATGTATACTATACGGGACGGGTATTGGACCTCCATGGGGCGCTATATGTCACCTGGTGCAACAATTTACCCCGTTGACCCAACTAATATGGGCTACATTGTTGGTAACTTCTGGTCTATTAGAGATGTTGATACCTGTCATTCTGGGTTATTATATGGAATATAACATAATGTCCATGGTGTATTTAAATATTGTCTTAATTGGAGTAACCTTTATGATTATTGCCGCAATATTATGGTTAATTAAATACTATTTATCAACTGAAGTAAATTCAGAGTAATTAATTTTATTAATGTAAACTTTATAATAAATGTTTAACAATTTATGTTATTCTACATACAATTCATGTAATTATTCTACATATAATTAATTATACACTGATTTAAATGTATACTATACATACATTGTATAGTTATTGTGTTTGAACTGAATAAACGTTAATACCCGAATATTCCCGCATGGTGCCTTATTACAAGTATAGTTGTATCATGTTTACCTAAATCATTATTTTGTAATATTATCTTTAACATGTATTAAACATTTAAATATAAATTAATAATAAAATGAAAATATTTTAGTAAAAACGGCTGACAATAATTAAAAACAATTTGTGTTTTAAATAATAAATTGTGTTTTAATACAGTAAAAACGGTTGTGTTTTTCAATACAATAATTTACAACTTGTTTTGATTGAACAGCACTTGAATTGTGGCCACTTTAGTGATGATGACTGCGATAATGTCTGTCCCCAACGCCCCCCTCGTCGTCGTCGTTGTGATCGCCGACGGGTTGTCTCTCCTGTAACTGAAGGCCCAGTCTTTGCATCTGAAGGCCAATGGTTTGCCTGAATCTCAAGTATATCTCAGTTTCCGATACTTTGAATCTTCGCTCCATTTCTATACCACAGAAGACACCGAATACTAAACCAATCGATGCGAAGATCATGTCTTGGGATCAGTTAATTGACAGATCAGATGAACAATCACTGCTTTTGTTGTCGTCTATACATATGTACTATTGTTTTTGACAGTTATTTAGTTTTTATAACAAGTTTTAAATGTATTTTTGTTTGTTATAACGCGGGTCTCATATCTAATATGTATTGTAGTGTCAGCTCGTGTTATATAATAATAATAATAAATAGTTTATTTAATCAAAACTCGTATTTTACACAGATTTGACAAAAAGTTATCCATTAAATACTTTTCACAAATAGTTATAAAGTTTTCAAAATATTTAGATCTGATCGAAGACGGCAATGAATTGTACAGATTTATGCCATAAATGAATTGATTGTGATAATCAATATTTATTACATATTTCTTTAAAACATGCAATAATTTATTCGATAATTTATAATTTTAATTATAGTTAATTCAGCTGCAATAAACTCATATTACATTATATTTAAAAATTCATGCGATTTTAAATTATTAATTATTTTATATCGTGTTTGATAAAACTGTTTTTCAATATTTTCATTATTTTAACGATAAAAGACTTTTTAAATATCAAATATACAATATAAATTAAAGCTAATTTTCTAAAAATATATCACATAATTTAAAATTTTATATTGTATAGTTGAATCCATTAACAAATAATTGTTGATCAACGAGCTGAATTAAAGAATTATTATTAAACAATTGATCAAGTGATAATTGTTAGTTTTAAATTCTATAAGAAATAGTCTCCGCATTACCATATACATTAATTGGCATATTTTTGTAAACTGTATAAATAAATTACTATAAAATACTAATAAATACTAATAAATTGTATATTCATTTTAGATTAATTAAATTCAAACAATGGCTGGAATAACGCGTCTGAATGTATTGTATAAACAGTGGGAACACAATAAGCAATCACACGATCGACTCATTGATTGTATCGAAAAATTTTATAAATTTATCAAAAATACTTTTGTTGTTTGCTATGAAGACACGGATCAGTATATGAGTAGAGATCAGAAGAAATGGCGATTAATTGTGGCCGTAATCGTAAGGATATGTCTTTTGGTGACTACTCTTCGGTACGCTATAACAGCACTCGTAGACAATGAGAATGTATTGTCATTTCTATACGACTTGAGTCCATATCTGAGCGATAGACTACTGCTCTCACTCTCGGGCACAGCTATATTCACGGCTCATCTCTTAATATCGATTGTGGTATTATATCTCGAATTTACTCAACGCATGTATCCGATCAGCTTTACTCACCATGTTAAATGCAAATCATTTAAATACCCTTTATGTTTTAATATAAATAGCAAGTTCACTAAAATGTATGCCCACCTAATGAATTATCACGTCAATCAAAGTACTATCTTTTTGACCATTACCAGTAGTGTAATACACATTTATATAACAATTCAGTTATATTTATATCCAAACTGGTCTCTATATAGATTATTAGGCTTAATAATTATTAATGTAATATATGTCATATCAATTTTGTTATGTTTTGCCATCACATGGTCTGGATTTATGTTATGGTATGTGATAACCTATGTTTTTAAATCCAAATTTCAACAATTAAATTATTATATGACAATTGCTTTAAAATTTAATAACCAGAAATTTTTAATGCAAATAATTATTGAACACAATTATTGGGAACAACGGGTCAGGGATTGTAATGTATTTTTCCGATGCATTATCTTTATTATCTATTATATCGGGACAATTGGTATGCAATTATTTATTTATATTATACATAATTCAAACAGTACTTTATTAGCTAGGGTTTTAGCTCCCGTTTCAGGCCTATAACCGACCCGCACCCCAAAACCCGTATTGAAAAGCATTGTGGGAAATATGTAATGTTTATTTTAGGTCTGGAACGGGAGAGTGTGTGGCGGGAAATCAATATAGTCATAAAGTTTACTATCGGTGTGTAGTTTACATATTTAAGATACGGTATTTGAAACTACTATTAGTGACCGGTCACGATCGCCCAGGGGCTTGGTTTGCTACGTAAGTGAAATTGCGATAAATGGGTGCGGCGGCAATGGCCACCCGTAGTCAAAATTAAACAAATCTTTTTAGGAAACTTTAGCCAACTATCGGACCAACATATTAGTAAAATATTTTTTAAATTCAATAACTTTTAAATATGATAAGTCTATTTATTAACTTTTGGGTTAATAATTTTGTTACCACTTTACATTGAAATCAATGGGAAACTAGTGGGGCGATAATTTTGGAACTGAGTGTAGCTTAATCATATTACAGCGTTTACTTGTTTGTTGAGTCAATAATTTATTGACAAACGAACACTAAAGTAATTATATTTAATTTTATCATTATTTATATTATAAACTGCAATTCATAGCTAAATTATGTAGACAACTTTAAATAAATAAATTATTTAAAAGATAATTGGTTAAATTGCATTTATAAATATATTAAATAAAAACACTTTATAATTAATTTATTTGTTTTATTTGAAAACTTATTTTTATACTTGTCATTTTACTTTATAGAGTATTATTGTCAATAATTTGTTGATGAAAGCCAAGAGAAAAATGTTCTTATAACGTTATAATATAAAGTATTCTATTGTAGATGAAATTGAAGAATGTTAAAAATATTATTTTTTACAAAATTACTATTGTAAATTTTAATTGACATTTACAATGTGGAGTTCATTTATCTTATTGAACAGTGTAACAAATGCACACAATTTCTATTTGAAATTTAACTAGTAATACATATACAGGATATCCCTTTCCCTAAGCTTTACCACAATCAAAATGCACAAAAAAATCATTAATATATTAATTGCATTTATTCAAAAATATATTTGCCATTTTAATTATTATTGAGAAATGTCAAACGATTCAGCAGTCACTTTACTTATGGTAAAGAATTGTTTGCAAATACTCTCAGACCACAAACAATACGTGTTTATAGCGATGATAGTATGTATTGCGGTGTTCACCGTGTGTTCAATAGTGATGTGTTGTATGGGTTGTAGTGTTGGCCACAAAACCGGTGATAAAACACTAGTTAATGACGAGAATCGGGAACTATTGACACGAACTCAACGCAAAAGGTTTGCTACAATTCACCTGCAAATGAATCCATCGCTTTCTATGGCTCGTAAAACCGAGTATTTCTACTGATATTTAAATAATTATCATGTTTTTTTTGTATATTATTTTTATTTATGTTACATTAAAATAAAATTAATTTCTATATATAATTAGAATAATTAGAATAATTTTTTCATTAGTAGTTATTGTAAAAAAATAAAATGCTAATGTGTCATAAGAGTTTAGATTTTGTTAAATTAACTATGTATAGTTTTATACAAAATTGATATAACAATTTAATTGTATTTGTATTTAATTATATTATAATTGTAAATATGTTATATTAATATTACAGTAATTGTGATGGATCATAATTATTACATAAATTTTTTTTTCAAAAAGGTTAAATAAAACAAATATTCATAATTTATACCAAGCTTATATAAGTACAGTAAAAATATTTTGAAAATTTAGAAAGAACTATTGTAAAACATGGCATTATGAATGAACAATCATGATGTACTTAATCACAACCATGATAATTTATCCAATGAAAGGTCTAAATGGCAAAAGTATACGATTTTCTATTTTCCTAATCTCTTCGCGAAAATGCCATTTAATACGTGTAGTGCCCGGTCTACAAAACTTATCCAGGTGATTGCCAATTAACCCTGGTTGATCATGTGTGTCGCCAATCGTTTAACCCATGATGGCTATAATTGATACACTAATTAATAAAAAATATATAATTTTATTGTTAAACATGGTCAACTATAAACACAAGGGAAAACAATTTTATAATTTTATTAATATTAATATATTTAGTTATAATTGTCTAATGTTTTATAACATTTTAGTTGCATATTATTTTTCATACACTTATTATGGGCTGAACTTGAGTTTATATACAAAGTACTATTTCTGGGCATTAAATACACGTTTTCTTGTAAGTCAAGTATTTCGTGTTTAAAGTGTAACATTTTTGCCCACATTTTCTTAACTCTTTTTGACCTAAAAATGTTGACCGAATCTAATGTATCATAATTAATATTGGGTACTTATTATGTTAATTTTGTATGTTTTTCTATTATATATAATTGTATAAATTTATATATACTGTAAATTTTGTATCTTGTTTAAAAATTAGTTAATAAATTAATTAAAGAGAGAAAAGCGAATTGAACATTAAATTAATTATGATACAAATTATTTAGATTACAATTTAATTTGAGATTACAAACTCTACCTGTTTATAATGAATTACATTAAATATAGTCAGGATATTTTAAAATGAATCTTAAGTACAATTCAATATATTATAATATCAATAATATTTAAATCGTAAATAAATATCTTATAGACTTATCATATTTACCGGGTGTAAATGTTGAGCAATTGTTCTACCATCTCATTACATCGCGAATATACTTTTCAATATTCAAATACAATCTGATGGGACATTTCAATATAGTTGGCACGCCATACATGTACCCACACAACTCATCCGCTGGTTTACCACTTGACCGAGCTTCAATATTGTCATTCCGTCTAGTTTCTTGTATGGCTAAGAGTCAAGTTTATGGGACAATTAGCATAGTCAATTAATACGGTCACTATTTTCACACATTGCCCTAGTACCATTTTGTTTAATAATATACGAGTTGGGTATAATAATGTTATCGTCGCCCACTTTAATTGTGGCACAACTGGATTTAGTGATCACTAATACAATCAAACACATAATTAGCCACAATATTTTGGGTATCATTATAATTTGCTAAAATAAATAAGTTTGTAAAATCAACGTGTCTTACATAAAACAAATATTATAAATCCTAATAAATTCAATAACTATTTATCTTTGTGCGAACAATATACTTGTATAAGATGTTGTTCTTACCCTTTTCAAACTTGTATTTTATGTTTTCAAAAAAAACTGTATAAATGTGTTAAACCGTAAGCTTGTGTGACATTTCAAACAAGAAATTCAAGTTTTCAAACTAAAACAGTGACTTTGATTTTGAAAATAGTTTTAATTTATTCAAACAACAACAACAGTACACATATGTAAACATCACAACATATATAATAAAATATGGTAAAAGCGATAACAATAAATATTTTATAAAATATATAACTTTGTACATTAAAAGTGACCAATGTCATTAACACGTCTCGGTGGAGCTAGTACGGTGGCGAGCACCTGGGCGTCTTGTCTAATTTTATCACGGATCTTTTGATGCACACCCAGTAGAGTGACGGGTCGATTAACATTGATGCTATGGCTAACACCTGTGCCGCCGCCCACTGTCGGGTACTTTTGCCGATCGATCTCCACATTACTCAAGCCGTTCAGTACATTGAGGCCCAGTTTAGACCCTCCCTGGCCTGTCAGTAGTCCCACACGAAATAGTTTTCTGTACGTGAATATGGTTAATTAATAATTATTTATTTTAAAATTAAAATTATTGTTATACAGTTATGTTTATTAGTTTATTTTAAATATAGTTAATAAAGGTAATTATTTTTAATATGCATAATAATAAATACAAACCCTAGATCTAGAGTAATGTTGCGATTTCTTTGAGCGCTTGTTTCACTGATGGCCACAATTATCAGGCAAATCACAGCTGCGATAAAGGTTTTGCTGAACATGGTTAACGTGTAATTTAATTATTTTGGTGATTTACAATAGAAAAAATATTAAATTTAAAATGATAACTTAGTTTGTTTTGATTTCAAACTTATTTTTCCAAACACTTATTATGGGCTAAACTTGAAAGTTTATGAAATAAAATTCACAAACTCTGGGCATTAAATACACTGTTTTGTGGGACAAGTATTTCGTGTTCAAAGTGTAATAATTTTGCCCAATTTTTACTTAACCTAAAAATAGGTCCTGAAATTCAATGGTCTTAATATTGCGTAATACTTTATAAATATATTATTGCATCACTCGTTAGCTATAAATAAATATTGAAACATTTATTTCATGTTTTAGTTTGTATTGTATAATATATAATAACGAGTGATGCAATAATATATTTATAAATTTATAATAATTTATAGTTTATTTTTAACATGTATAAAATTTTGATTATAACTATTGAAAAATATGATTATTTTTGTAATTAATATTTTAACCAAAAAAATTATTGATTAGTAAAAGAAGTTATTGATTATAATTTATTTTATTTTTTAACTTAAACAAAACTTTTCAATTAATATCAATAAAATAATTAACACTTTCTATGTCTCACACATAAACAAATACTGTATATGAGAGATAAAATAATAAAACTCTTAAGAGAGTTACTAAAGTTATTTAAGTTATCAACAAAAAGTTTAATTGGAGTTTTAATTTTGTTTTATAATTAAATTAGAAATTACATTCAATTGTTTGCACAGTAATTAAAGCAAATATTATAAAACTAATTACAATATGTAGAATGTATCAGGATGATTCTGTTAGAAATTAATTAAGAATAGTCAAAAGCGGTAATCAGTTGTTGTATGTAATGTATGAACCGTTTCCATAACTTCTTGATCCAATGTCTGGGACTCAGACGACGCCTGAGTTCAACACTAAACTCAACATCGGTTTCATCGCCTATACCTTCAGCATATTTTTTATCCCAATCGATCATTCCGTTCACTATTGTGAAGCCCAGTTTGGGTCCACCGCCCCAAGTGATCAGACCATCATGCAATGCCTTGCTAGTTTTACAAGTACATTTATTATGGCAATTAATTAATTAATATAGTTATTAATTACATAATAATAAATAAATAAAATAGAGTAATAAAATAATTATTCTTTTTATAGATAATTAATTTTTTAATTTTTAACCTAGAAAACTATTTAATAATTTATTAACTTACAATAATGTAACTTGATTAACTTGCAATAATAAAATCAAGCCGAGGTCTATGCAAACGGTGCGATCAAACAGTGGATTAAATGGTGAGTTCGTGCGGTTAAATAAAAGAGCATTGGTTTTATTGATGGGCACTATTATAACAATAATAATGATGATAACAATAAATGTATATGTTACTTTGTTGATTAGCATGTTTATTCACATAATAAAATAACAGTAAAATCGAAGTTTTAAATAAAATAATAATATATTTTATTTATATAATTAGGCATACAATTTACTTTCACATAGAGATATCAAATGTGAAAATTATTAAAAATTGTTAAAAGGATTATTTGTTAACATTTTCACATTTTATGGGCCAACTATTTTAAGGCCAAAAATAATAACAAAATTTAATCTCAATTTCTTAGACTCGTAAATATTCACCATTGTCATTAATTAAGATTCTTGATGATAACCATATTACTATCAATTTTACTAATATCAATATTACTAATATTATATTAATAATATTATTACAGTGCTACCTCATTGTAAAAAATGGTTTAATTTTGAATTGTCTAGGTATAGGGAGGCATTATTTTAAGAAGATTTGTAATAAATAGGCTACATTGTATTAAATAATTAAAAAATATAACGCCCTTATTATAATAAATAAGAAAAAATATTATTTATAAATATATAAATAAATAAATATACATGTATCATTCATAGATTATAATCATTGTAAATTAATAGTATTATAAAGAATAATTTAATTAATCCTAATTGGTTAACGCATTAATCTAATATATTTATAGCAGATGCAATACTTGATTTAATGTTAGATTGGTTGATTTATTAAAACCATTAACGAGCTTTTAATCAAAATAATAAATTATTAAATAATTTTATTAAATAAATATTGCAAATACAAAAATGTTTACTATTTGTAATAAATAAAAAATCAAATAACAAATTAAGCTCAATTTGACAGCGTTGACAGATATTAATATCTAGATTTAAGAAAAATATTAACTTTTTTAAACCGGTAAAATGTAATATTATATTGAATTAAAAATAGAAAATTAAAACAATTATAAAACTTGACTTGTTAAAATTAAAAGTTTAAGCAGGTGTGAATATGGGCTTAACATTGCCAATAGAAACGGCCACTTCTGTGGCACCCTTTCTATGGTTTATAATACGATTGCGGATCCGTTCCCTCAATAGTCCGGGTCTTATGACTGGCCGGATGTGGTCGTTGTCGTCGGCGTTGATGTGATCGTAATTATTGTAACCACTATTGGTGTCCACACTGTTATATTTGGTCCGATCGACGCCCACATTGACCAACCCGTTGAGCACATCTATACCCAGTTTAGTGCCACCCTTTCCAGTGTTTAGTCCCAACCGGAATATCTTTCTATAAAAAGGTATTAAATTGTTTACAAAAATTATTACCTTGATTATTTATATTATTTATTAAAATACAATTAATATTAACTAACCCAAGATCTATGTTAATGCTTTGATCCTTTTGAGCCATTGATTCGCTGATGGTCACAATTAAAACGCCGAGAAATATAATGGTGATTTTGTTGTTCAACATTGTATTTATAATAAAAACTATTTAAAGTTATTGCAATAAAATATTTTAAAATGCAATTTTTAATTATTTCTACAAAACAATAGACAATAGGTTTTTCACAGCAAAAATAATTGATTTGCAAAATACAGTACAACAACAATAGTTAAGTCGTGTTTATAATTATGTAATGATAGGTAATATTGAGATGAAATAAGAAATATTTTTCCCAAATATTATATTTATAAACATATACTGTATTAGTGGCTAAACTTGAAATTTTATATCAGCTAAACGGCAGTAGTATTTTTAATGTTGATAATTATGATAAAAACAAGTATTACTAGTTATTTAAATCCCTGTTTTACCACGAAAAATGTACTTTTTGTATAATTAATACCAGTATTTTGATTTAATTGATGATATAATTTGTTGATTATTATACACTTTAAGAAATTATTTTAGCAGTTAATTATATCGTTAATTTTCTCATGATTTTGCATTTTGTTCAATACATTTAGCAAAAAATGTTTAAACAATTTAAAAATATTTTTATTAATTTATGAGATTTAAGCTAGAGTTAACTCCTTTTTAAAAATACATTAAAACGTGATTTTCATAATAAACAGTATAATTTAAATACAATTTAAAAGCACTTAAAACAAGTATTTAATTAATTTATTAAATTAAAGTTAGCACGTATTTTATTTAACATCAAAAATAACTAAACATTTACAGAAAGATTACACCAAAAAAAAAACATTAACTACGAAAACAAACTACAAATTAACCATTTTTAATACCAAAACAGGGACAACAGCAGCACCGGTACCACCAATTGACAAAACCCTCGCCACCGGCACACATACGAGTCCAACAGCCGGTGCTTTCGGACTCAGACTCTATTGAATAGACATCGATGGGAATCCAACTCTTATTCCTCAGGAGTATAAACTCTTCTTTGGCCAGTTTTGGTCTCTTCTTGATATCACTATCAACACCAGTAGTGTCAGCACCAGTATTGTCGGCCACACCATTGCCTTTCATTGCATTACCATTACTTTTGGTCTGAAAATCGGTGGCCGCGGGTTTCGGAGGACTCGTGTCCACCAAAATGCGGCCAAATTTGGCCAACCGTTTGACCGCTTCGGTTGAATCGCAACACAGACTCAGGCTGTGTCTGTCCAGACGCTGACGGATCAGCTCATCCATCTGTCGGCTCTGTTCAGGCGAGTAATAGTTAAGCCAATCCCCTATTACACCATCAAACTTAGTGCCATGGTGCTTTATGCCACTCTCATCATTATCATTGGTATCCACTGTTTTATACATATCGATCACCACTTTTGGCCCGCGGTTTGATGCCTGACATATGCTGTCCACGTCTTCAGCCGTAACGTGAGGTAGGCCTAAGAAGTCGGCCATAAGTTTAGCCATGGGCTGTGTCTCCTATTAGATAATTAATTATGTGTTAATTTAATTAAATGCAGTTTTAATTTTGCAATAATTTCTAATTAATTACGAGTTTTAACTCTTCAAACGTGAGCACAAAGACATTGTGCGGACACATACGAGACAATCGCCAATAGTCTATAACGTGTGAGAAGTAATCGCCGTATAGTAAGTGTCCGCACATATAGAGGGATATAAAGTCGTCAAACGAGGACAGTATGCCTTTCACCCGGTGCTGGTAGTAATACGACACCGACTGGTCCTTTGGGTTACGCAACACGTATATTATCTTATGTTGGAAAATAAATATAACATTTTTAATTAATACTATTATTTAATAATTAATTAGTTATAAATTACTATTTACTTTGCAAACGGGAGTCTTCACGGAGTCGGGCATCAAAGCCAGCGGGAGATTAGAGGCCAAAATGCGGGGCGACTTCAGTGCGTTCAGCCACCGGAGGTGTCCGTACGGGTGGGCGGCCTCCAGACGGCTAACACTAGCCGAGCGCT